ATTTCCTAACAGCCACCATTATTTTCTCCCTCAAATTAATGTAAATTTCCTTAATCATTAAAAAATTCAACTTTTTCCACCCCCAAAATATTAAAAAGAAAAAAGAAAAACTTTCATCATTAATTTCATCGAAATTACTGCACGTGGTACGGCCTTAGTAAGGGAACCAATGAGCCACTGAGGTGTAGTGACATCACCTCATTGGTGGACCCCACAAGCTCACCACCAACGAACACGGCCGGCAGAGGCCCAAAGTCGGAGCCCATTAACCTCCGGAGGGCCAACTCGATCTCGTGGCCCATTGGGTCGTGGTCCACCTCGTACACCAGCGGCCGGGCCCCGATCTCCTGGAACAGCACCTGAACCGTGTAGCACAAACAACAACTGCTCTTGCTGAATATCAATATCCCATTTTCTGATGCCAACTTCACTATTTTCTCCATTCAAAAAAAAATAATACTAATAATAAAATAAAATGTTCTTTTTGGGGAAATATAGAAAATGTGAATAATTTGAGTAGGAAATTGTTAACTGGTAAAAAGATTGGTTGCATTTGCATGAAGTATTTATAGGAAAATGGGACCAGCAGCAATTAGTACAGATCAGTTGGGACTTGGGAGTGCTTTTTTATTTTTTATTTATTTTATTTTTTTAATTTTCTTAAGCAAATGATGCCAAAAAACAGCTATGAAGGAGCTTTTTTATAATTTATCTTTTTCTTTTTTCTTCATGAAAAGATACTCGAAATCTATTATATTGTTGTTGGCACAAGTTAAGCATGGCAGACAGTGTCTAGCTCTATTTGAAAATTGGTCGGGGGTTTTAAATTACATAATCAATGATTATTCTTAAATATTGTCCATTATATTTTAAATATTCGGTAACATTTCAAGTAACAAACTAATCAATGTCCTAATCGATCTGTAGTAATATTTGAACAAAAATACATATTTACATATATTGTCAAATGTTACACCTATGTTTTTACGGTGTTTTTTTAAAAGTATGACATATTTTTAATTATGAAAGTATACATATTCATAATGGTCAGATTGGCCTAACACAAGAACACCCAATTGCAGATAAATTAGAAATTAATATATGTAGAAACATTTGAACTCAAGTATATATGTCCCACAAAATTTAGAATATCATGTAAAATTGTGCACCCCGTGCATCGCACGGGCTCTGTACTAGTATTTATTTAAACACATTCCATGGCTAAATAAAACTTTTAATACGTTTTATTTCCTTTTATAGAACTATATGTAACGAACAATTAATTAGCATATTTAAGAATCCTAAATTAAGTATGAATTCTATTTAGTATAGTGATTCACGTGAACTATATTCTCTGTTTTTTGACCTTATATGACATGTAGATGTAGAATTTGAATTATATTATATTAGTCCTAACAAAGGCTGTACAAATGTTGCATGTTGCATATTATAAGCTCCTCTTCCTAGGGATTTTAATTTTTGCTCTGAAAATGTTTGGTGAAACGGATATAATTTTAAATCAATAGATATTCTGAAAACGCCATGTGGCCAACTTAAGATCACGTGAAAAGAAAATTGCACAAAATTGAAGGTCAAATTTTCAATCAGATTCTTCAAATACTGCTTGGAATAAAATATTTTTCATAAAAAACCAATTTTTTCATACAAACAAGTTTAATCCAACCCAAACCTTTGTAAGAAAAAAAAAAAAAAAATGAATGCCCCTATATGATTTCTTCATAGCTGTAGCTTTGAACTTTTCCCTTTCGTTTGTGTATGTGTCTTTTTACCTTTTCTTTTTTACTTCTAATGCTGTCCAGAGAGTTCATATAATGAGTAAATCTCTACGTGTAGCAAATTTGACGTCCCATGGCACTAAGCAAATGACAATTAACAAAATTAAGGATAATTATTAGCCGTAAAGGTTGGTAATACAAATGATCATTTCTTTGTCTCAGTTTGATGTTGAGATTTTGTGCCTTTTTTTTGCCTGATTTTGCAGTAGTAGGAGGAGACCACTGTGACTTCATGGCTTTATGGGCTGTCATTTCTTGCATGGGATACTATGTCAATTGTCTTTTACCCCATTATTATTATTATTAGTATTATTATTATTATTATTTTTATTATTAAAAATTGTTAGTATGGTGGTTACTTAGATCTAATAATTAGTCGGTTATAATTTTTTTTTATTAAATTGTTATGCATACTTATACAAAGACAACATATTTTAAAAAATAATATAATGTGTACATTTGTTCATTAAATATGACGAATTGATCAGTCCAGCTCTAGGTTGCCTCACACAAAATTTTTTTATTAAAATATTTAATAATAGTTTCCAACTTGGATTCGTAATCATTTGACAATTATCTTTCTAATAAATATGCATATTTTAATAATCAGATGACCTACATTAAAATGTATGATACTTGATAATATAAGTATGTGTTTATAATAACAATGATTATCTAGTGGTAGAACAGCGTATTTGTGAAAGTTTTGGGATGAAGGGGCCTCACTTTTTTTATTTTTACTTTTTTTATTATTTAAATTTGACTTGGATAGTTAACTTGTTTATAATTTAGCAACATATGTATTTTTTAAGTTACTCATGAATTTAAATATTATATATATTTAAGACATACAAGGTTAAAATCTTCATATCAAATATTTATGTGAAAGTATCATTTTTCGAGTAAAGTATAAAATTTCTACAAATATAGTAATACATTAGTAAAGTGAAAACTTTCACTAATCTAATACTTCTTAGCATGGAGGCCCAAAATGACCACAATTGTAGGTCAACTTTCTCAGAATGGAAGCCCAAAACTCACTACTCCGATCCTTTCTGGAAGGGAAGCCCAACTGATAGTCCACACACTAGTCCAAAATATCTGGCCCAACTCATAGTCCACACAGCAGTCCAAAACATCTCTCTCTCTCAATGATAAATTAGAACTAGGACCAGTGATAGATTCTCTGCTAACTTAGCCTAGTTTATAAGTGAAAGATATTTTATTTTGGCATTAGTTCGATAGTTCGAACAAGCACCTGGAACCACAGAATAAAAAGGGAAGATCTTTACATATTATATTTCCGTAAGTAATATTGTTTTATATTCCGTATGTAAGTCCATGTAGATCTTATTACGGTTTTTATATGATAGGTAATTGCACGTGGTGAGATAAAGAGGAGGGAGAAAAGAGACATGCTAGGAGAGGAGATCAATGAGAGAGAATAGAAGATTTCTTGCCATAGTTATCCTATTATCTTGGAAGGAAATCTTGAATGAAGACCTATGCCTTGTAGAAGACTCCAACCCTAAGGAGATCATATATATACCCTAGAAGAAGCTTATGGCGGCCGCGGATTTTGATACAGAGAAATATTTAGGAGCCATTCAAGCTTCACTTGCTTTCGGTTCTATTTTGATTGTATTCAGTTCAGTCTAAGAGTTCTTACAAACTCAAGGACTAGTGCTGCTTTCGTTTAGTTCTCTATACATTTCATCTAAACTATTTTACCGTTTGTACACTTAGGGAATAAGTGTAGGTGTTTAAGTCCACGGGACGTGGCCGGAGGATTAGTTGATAGGATCAAGTAGTGTTGGCTAGATTTGAAGGGAGTTCGAATCTTTGTAAGTCCAAACTATGTATACGAGTGATCTATCAATGAAAGAGCTCTGAGGGGAAGTGGGACGCTTCCCTGAAAAGTTTATTAATCTTCGGTTATTTGCTTCCGCATTTTACAATTCTTACTGTAGTTCGTACTAATACTCGCGCACTCCGTGACAAATATAAGTTTCAATTGGCACCAGAGCAGTGTTCCTGTTCTTACTACGGGATAAAGATCTTTGGGACTGTGTGTTGGTCACCATGAGTCACGATGGAATGTCTGTTTCGCGCCCTCCGTTCCTTGATGGAGCAAACTATGCTTATTGGAAATCCATGATGGTAATTTTTCTTCGTTCCCTTGGTAAAGGCACGTGGCAGGCCGTTGAATCAGGATGGTCGACACCACTTATGCCAAAAGCTCCCGCTGAATTTAAACAAGGTGAACCTTCGGATGCAAAGTCGTCTATGTCTGCCACTCAAGTTCTTGTTGAAAAACCAAGGAGTCTTTGGACTGACGATGAAAAACAAGCGGAAGAAGCGAACTTCCGTGCTTTGTATGCTATCATGTCTGCAGTAGATCCAACTCGTCATAAGATAATCATTCAGTGTACCACCGCTCAAGAAGCCTGGAGGATTTTGGAAAGACAATTTGAGGGTACAAATGCCGTAAAAACCTCAAAGCTGCAAAGAGTCTCCACAGAACTCGATGAAATCCGCATGAGGGAGGATGAAACTATCGATATGTACTATGCTCGGTTCTGCGACCTAGTTAACCAAAGTGCGATGCTTGGTGAACCGGTTCCAGAGGCTAGACAAGTTCAGAAATTGATGAGAACTCTGCCGGATAGGTTTGGGATCAAAATCACAGCACTTGAGAGTTTTCAGAGGATTCAGAAACTTGGCATTGACGATCTTCTCAGCGAACTTCGGACATTTGAAATCAATCATGGTTTTGATTCCATGAGAATAAGCAAAGGAAAAGGCTTAGCACTAAAGGCCAAGGTTCGCACCTCAGTAGCTGAAGATGAAGAATCTGATGAGGAATCTTTTGATCCTGATGAAATCACCAAGGCACTTACTGTACTCTCCAAAAATGTCTCGAAGCTGAAGAAATTTCAGAAAAAGAGGTTTCAGGGTAATAGATCGTTTGATGGAGGTAGGAACCAAATTCAGCAATTCGGAGAGAAGCGTTCTGGCTTGCAGATGAACAAGTTCCAGAATTCCAATCAAGGAGTAGAGAAGGACCAATGCCGTGAATGCAAAGGCTTTGGACATTTTCAAAAAGAATGTCCTAATTTCAAGAAGAAGAACAAGACATTCAAGGCTACGTGGTCTGATTCCAGCGACGACGAGGACAAAGAATCTGAAACGACTGAGAATTCTAACTACTCAAATAACTCCGCTAAATGTCTTCTTAATGAATATAACTGCTTTACCTCTTCTGTTCATCTAACTGATGTTGAATCTGATGCAGGTTCTTACGCGAAAAACCTGAGCGAAGTGGACTCTGATGAATTTTCGGACCCAGCTGCCGAGAATCTTGTACTTCACAAGTACGCGATTGAAAAGTGTCTCAAGGCAAGAGACATCATCAATAAGTACCATGCACAAAAACAGAAGATGAAGGCTCTGGAACAACGATCTAGCGAACGTGAGAAAGAGATTGACTATCTTCGAACTGAGCTTCAAAAGATGAGAGTGATGACAGTCGATTTGAACGAGAAGCTCATTAAATCGGATCTCCATACCGCAAAGCAGGATAAGGACTTAAATAGTTGTTTTGCAAAACTTGCCTTGGTTGAACATGGGGATAAACTCAACAAGCA